GAGGTGATTGAGTCTTTAAGGAGGGTCTTTAAACCGAAGGTTAGCGACTCAGATTGAGGTTGTGGAGGTTAGATAGCAGGCAGGGAATGGCTACTGAGGTGAGAGAGCTGCTTTCGTTGGTTACTTTAAACAATTCTCGTTTCTGGGGTCAGCTTAGAGAGCAACAAGAAATCCTCAGCCTGTGTGTCTTAGAAATAACAGGAGTTACATTTTTAGGGAGCTGAATAAAAAATATGGACACTAAACTTAAAAAGGTTAAAGAAAAACTTTCAAAGTATCCCAGTTAGATCCACCACGGACAATAAGGTGAAGAGGGGTTATCAAACAGCTTCAATCTCCAGCAAGAAGGGACGGCCATATCCATTACCAGAGATCCTTGTTTTTTCAAGGATCTTATGCTCACGCACTAAGATTATGACACTGAGGTGGTTCGGATGATGGTGGTTAAAAAATGTGACAGTTGTTCCTGATTTACTGTCTGCGGTCTCTCTAGAGGGTATGGTTTCCTCTCCAGTCTGACCTTGAGAATCTTCTTTAAGCTTTAAGTGGGCTTTGCTTCACAAACCAATGAAAACTGTGATTCTATCAGTTTTGCAACATTTTCAATCAGAGTTTTTCTTTTCACCTAACTTTCCACTCATACATCCCCGCTATGAAAAGCCAGATTCTTTGACACTAATCTATTTATGACTTCTTTTTTAATTTTGGGCTTTATTACATGCCTGTGTCTGATTTAATATTTAAGTTTCCTTTTAAAAAAGACAAAATCATAATAATTAAGACAAATTAAACCAACTGCAAACCTGGGTAATAAGTCTATGTAACTTTCATTTTTAAATCTGAAGACTAAAATGATATATGATAGTCTTAATTCAGTTTTTAACACAGAGAAATATGAAAAATATAACAGCAGCTTCATTTCTGTCCCTCTCAGATGGAGAAATGCAATTTTCAGGTGCATTAGAAGCCCCAAACACACAGCAGTCTGGGGCTACTCTATGAGTCTGGTTTAACTGACCAACTGGGAAACTTGGAGAAACCCAACAGAATCATCCAGATCAAAGTTTATCTTTGATCTGAATAGCTCTGGATTAGTGAAGTGATTTAGTTAGGTAACTGTTTGGTTTGGCTAACAAACACTCAGTCATTGCTCACTCAAACTTTGTCATCTCTTTCTTATTCATGTATCATGACGGCTTTATTCTGCTCATTACCATCGATTGGACACATCATCCTCTTGCATTAGCTCTGTAATTTCACTGAGCACAAAACATGTTTTTGTGTTTTTGTGAAAGAGAAGGAAAAAAATCTTAATTATATAAAGTGCTTTTTTGAAGGTTAAGACATATGATTATGTTTTTGATCATTGAAGATCACAGATTTCTTATGTTTTCAGTTTGACTCTGTGGTGTTTTGTAAGACAGATAATAATAAAGTGTTTGTTCTTTTCTTCCCTTGACTCCAGCTGTGTTCATTATTACTCTTTTTTTGTTTTTAAATAAAAAAGATAAAGACTTCGGAAAATCAAAGCTTTGATTTTGTTCCTCTCTTTTTACCGGTTTGATGTATGACTAGCGTATAAAACCATGCATCGTAATCCACATTGTCATTATTTATGAAACATCCGTTGCCGAAGGACTTAAGAGGGAAAGTATCAGACAAATGGTGCTGATCAAATGTGCTGATTAACGGATAATAATCAGTTTAAGCGGCTCTACATAAGTAGGAGTTTATCAGTTTGCTGCTCTGGAGTGTGCAGGTCTATGTTAACACAACACCAAGATGAAAGGACATCTCCCATGACTTTACTAAAAGGGTGGGATTATAAGGTCGCTTTCAAAATATCTGAAGTCCATCACTCAACAGAAAGGTTATTCCAAAGAAAATAATAAATCTCAGACAGGTGCCAATCTTCCCAGTAGAGCCCATCCCTTTAGATTCAGCTCAAGGTTAGAGC